TATTGGCGAAACGAAAGTCGCGAGACTGCGTTGGCTCGGCCACTTGGAGAGGATGAGGGAGGATCGTGCAGTCAAGAGGGCATACATGGGGCAACCAAAATGGAAGCGTCCTGTTGGTCGCCCCAGATATCGCTGGAAAGACGAAGTCCATAAAGATCTGTGAGCTCTCCAATCAGCCAATTGGCAAGAAACAGCCCAGAACAGAGAGCAGTGGCGTCCTTTCGTATCGGAGGCCAAGATCCTCTTTGGGTCGCTGAACATTTCAATATCAACAGAACTTAATTTTAAATGATTAAATTGTTAATTATTTATGCTACATACGGACGAAGATCCGCGTTAATACTAGTTTTTTAATAATTAAGGTTATAGGACGAGAGTAAAAACCATTATATTTAAAGTCCTTTGGAATAAAAAAGTATATGATAACTATATTTTTGTGTGTTTTTTGTATTGTATTGTATAAGAATCGTTTTTAAATTCATTTCGCAGTTTTACATATAATGCATTGAGAAATAATATTTAAAATGTATAAATATTTAAAAACCTTATTTTTACACGTATTTACTGAAAATGAAATTATAATAGATTCTATTGTGATTTAATATTTCGTCAACGCGTTTCATTTATATTGCATTTTTATTTTAAAATAATATTTTACGACACAATACGACTCAAACGCGATAAACGATCACTGTTCATTTCCGTCTTAATGTCTTCGCCCTAACATAAGACCAAATACACCTGGATGTCGTGCCCGCCCCAGTTACATACGGACGTAATTGACTTGTCTTTAACCAAATACTCTGGCGTTCCGGCGTCAATAGGGGCTCTGGAAACTGACGACTTGCCCGAGCAGATTTCCCAGGGGGCTCTTCGTTGCCTGAGTGCGTCACAGCGCAATTGGCGGAGGCACAGGAGGAAGGTGGAAAGTAGTAATGTTTATTTCGTTTCATAAAATTAAACGCGTAACTTATGCGACACATTGTCTTTATTTCATATTTCATGTGTTCTCCTGGTAATTATTCTTATTTAAAAAACAGACACTAGTAAAATTGTATGTAATTATGATACGGTAAATTAGTTGGTCAGGTGACCAACTTCTAGTAATATGAAAAAGATTACTTGTTATTAATTGTAAGAATCTAGTATTAGTTCCACATCTGCAGTTCAATTCTAGATCAAGTTCTAATCCTCATCAGAATCATCATTTTAGCCCGGATTCCACTGCTGAACACAGGGCCTCCCCAACAGGCTGTCAAAAAGCATGATCGATACTCCTATCTGGTAGGGGAGGTGGGACGCTACGATGGATATCTGCCAATACAAATGAATACATTAATTACAATAACCCCTGGGAATGAGTTGATCGCTCCCAAGCTATTTCTAAAAGGAAAAAAAATCAGTTGTATAATATTTTAATTTTTTTTAAAGAAAAAAAAATGAATTACAAAAAAGAGGAGCTGTTTTCGCCTGTTTCTTCTCAGAGGAACCTCATTACGATAGTATGGTAGATTTAAAAAAATATGACTATCGATAGGTGAAATGTAAGTTACGTCGATGAATAAATGATTTTGATTTGATTTGATTTTGACTCTTCCCCATCGGTAATCAGTTCTATAAGCTATATGGCCGGCCCATAGCCACTTTAGCTTACTAATCCTCTGGGCTATGTCAGTTATCTTTGTTCTACTGCCGGTGTCTTCATTACGAAATCTGGCAGTTAAAAATCGAGTTAGCCCCCTAAGCAGTTCCGAGCTTCCACATACGGTCGCCAATGAAGGACCAAGCAATTATCATTAGTACGTTAAACGACTTTTTTGGATCACTTCAATTTAGTAAACACATACTAAATAAAACTAAGAATATTAGAATTGCAGGCTGAAGATTCATTGAGTTTCAGTCTGAATGGGGATGTTACTATGTAACAACTCCAAAAAAAATCTTATTAGTTCGCTCTGGAAGAAAACCTGGAATTCGAACAAACTGCCAAAATTCAAGTTTTCCCATTTAGCTGCTAAAAGTAGCTTATACTAGTATTGATTGGACGACGTTGAGCATTAATGGCTCTTGTATTTTCTCAAAGACGCAACTTGCTTCACTATCTTAAGTCGGTCCAAACTAAATATATAGAATTCGTGAAGTGCCATTCGAACAAGCATTTGAAGGGGATTTCGCAGCGGCAATTATGTGTTTCGATTGCTCTCAATACGAGTAGGTTCATAAGCTCAGTGAAAATATAATGTCTGTTACATCACAAGTTAATTCAAAGGAGGACTGTATTAGTCTAATAACGGTCTCCATTGCCTCAAACGACTCGCGCGTCGAAGTAAGAAAATTAGAAAGGAACATTCGGAGATAAGAAAATTACATTACATATCGTACTTGGCGAGAAGTTACTCCGAGCCGGCTTTCGCGAGTCTAATTTCAAACAACGCTGAGATATAAATGAACATAGAAGCGTTGAAATTAAATAGCTTGTGAATATACACATATATACAGATACTTCTTTATTGTTCATCGTTGATTGAACGTTAAACGTTATAGTATAATCGTTAAGTTAAAAGAAGTGGCAGAAAATTATTGTTGAGGAATACGTTTATTTATAAAAGATTTACATTAGAACCTTAACGGTTTGGGATAACGAAATGTCCAAGGTTTGAATCACAATAACATACACAAAAAACCACTATATACAAGTTTCTCTTAGTATCTATCTACACTTGGCTCGTTTGGGGTCAACGGCTTGGTAAAGGCGAAAACGCTAACAGTGGCGGATGTCAGATTGAAATTACAGAATATGTAAAGAAAACGGGACGAAAAAAGAATTTCAGTAGAGGTAACACATATGCTGCCTCTGTAAGAATGGTCTATGTCTGGAACGAATAAGAAAGTGATACGAGATAAGGTACGATAACTCTGACACGATATGTCGGAACGCATAAAGTAGTCGAAATTCCACGCGACAAGGCGGACGACCATAAATAGTTTCTCACTGAAACGTACGCGGGCATTAAATTCGGAAAAAATGATTCTCGTAAATATCTCCAAATCGCTAACACATAAGTCAGTGCGGAGAACAGGGAAATGATATGAGCGCAGACATTTCCACTCCGCTCGCTTCGCGGTTTCTCGCAGCGGATATTTTTGTAACCGAATATCGGAATTGTCTCCGGTTTTTTTCTATTTTGATTCGAGTACTGTTAGCGCGAGGATGGTTCGAGAAATAAAATGCAGTGTTTAACCGCATCCATGCAGAATTTTCCTTTAAAATCGTAAAACTATAGTGTGCTTTGTTTTGCTTTGATTTGGTAGTACAACAGTATGTTTAGATTTACTAACAATGAATCAGTTTATTTACAAAATAAGGACCCTACAATTTGTTCTATCGGGCAGACGTATACACGTAAGTTATAGAATATCTTATGGGACGTTTTATCGTAGAAATTTGTTTGATTATTTATTATACATATTAACATGGCTCTTATTGTAGTCGTTGTTTATTATTTTTTAATCAATTCCGAAATTGTAAAATTAGTAAATTATCCGTATTACCAACTCTTAAGGATCATATTAAAACGTATAATACTTGTACAAATTACGATTAATACGATTACGACGATAATTACGATTATTTAGTTTACACAACTCATAAACAAATCGTCATTCGCGTAATAAATATTCTCAGTTCTTTTGTTTGCATTCTCGTTTAAGTGTCTATTTTTGCCATTTATTATTAACGTGAGATTTTATCTATTCGTGCGATGTGGCCGTGTTTGTTTATTTCAAAATAGCAAGCAGTATTTTGAAATAAAGAGACGTTTTTCTATCCCCACAATTCTGTGAATAGTTGTTCTACTCGTACTTCAAGTACTAACCGATATTTGTTCAACACATTTTACTCTTGTGGGAAGCTTACTCTCCTGTAAGTGGATACGACATCACTGAATTCTAGTAGATACGGTCCCTTGGCGGTTCGGTGAGACGACTGGGGCTTGTCTTCAATACGATATTGTGTTAAGTGATATTCTTTGGAAATACAATGACGTACTCGTATCATGTTTGAATGCAAGTTTTAGTATCTTATTTCGTGTACCTATCATGGTGAGCTTATGTTTAATCTAAATAAAATTCGTTTAACAACATCTTAAAGTTAATAAGGACATAGGTAAATATAATTTTTGGCACTTTTAATTATAAACCGATAGCTTTTCGCCCGCGCCTTCACTCGCGTTGAAGCCCGTAAATAAATATGTTTCTTTAAAAACTATGTATATTTTAACCGACTTCAAATAAGAAGGAGGTTTCTCAATTCAACCGTATATATTTTTATTTTTTTATGTGTGTTTACGGATAACTGCATCGTTTATGAACTGATTTTGATGTTTAATTTTTCGGTTTGAAAGGAGATATCCCAACGGTGGTACCATGATAAGGAAACCCGGATCTGATGATGGCATCCCAGACAAATCAAGGGCAATCCTCAAATGTTATAGTTATCAACAATGTTTTTTAGTTTCCGGTTTGAAGTCGGTTTTATTTTGTTGGAAATTATATTTGTTAACGAAAGTGTTTTCAACCCTTTACAACACTTTTTTACAATTTAAAAATAGTCATTTTAATATTAAGTATTCAGTATTTTCGTACATTCCTTGCTTTTGAGATTTATAAAACTAATTAACTTTTTAAATTAACATAGATTATGACCTTAATGCGTGGGGAGGGATGTTTTCATTACACAAGTAAGTGCTTATTAAGTAAATCTGTAAACATGAAATTATAAATTGAGGTGTAATAATAATTTTAAATGGAAATTAATATAGCTTTGAGTCTTGAAATCTTGAATAGTTAAATACGAAACGTAAATTGAATTCCCTTAATAATGGTCTAATGTAATCTAACACTGTATAGTTTCTTATAGCGATCTGCATGGTACTGAACTTTATGTGCGTCCAGTTAGGATTAATATAATTAAAAAAAAAATAACGAAAATATCAGCTTACTTTGTATGTGCCGAGGTGTTCAACAACGCATGGCAGGCTGGCATCTCTGCCAAGAGCCACGGTCACGTTGGGGATCGGCTCAGCGAAACGAGGCTCCTCCGTCAACACTGTAAACAGAAATCTATGTTACTTGTGGCCGAAAATGGCAAAAAGACTAAGCGGTTACATATGGCCGTATGTTGCATTGTGCACCTACATAGTCATGGTCGCGATGTTGCTCAGTTCTATTCAAACAGTCTATTGCAGTCAACAGCTAGATACAGGCCTCCCAAAGGGCACGCCAAAGTGCACGATCTTCCCATTTCCTCATCCAGCCACTACTAGCGACCTTTCTTAGGAACGGTCCACCTGAGTCATGATGTTATTACCTTATCCTTGCGTTGGTGTTTCACATATAACAAACACTACATAAGCCAAATATACGAAGAAGTAAATGTGTAAGAAGGAGATTGTGTGATTCCTATTTTGTACATGAAATTTAGTAGATAAAGTTGATTACTCGTTGGCTCTGTAAAGATTATAATCAAATATGCGGATGCTACACGCGGTTACTACTTGCTGATAAATTTTATTATTTTATGACCGAGTTTCTTAATGACATTAATTTCTAGATAATCAAGATCGGTTTATGCATAATAATGTAATGTTTTGAGCTCAATTTTAATTCTTATATGCTTATTTGATATGTGCTAAAATTTTATTTTTAATTTTAAGTTACAATCAGTCATTGACTGATATTACTTGATAAAATATTTATGCACACTTTAGAATAAAATAATACGTTGATTTTCACCAAGATACCTGCATGTCTTGTACACACGTGTTTTTTGTATAAATTATTTTTTATTATTATAAATGAGATCAATGTTTTTTTTTTAATACAAAATATTGTAAATTATCCGAAACGTTATGTAGACTTTACGTATTGTGTGGCGCCCACGACGGAGGATTAATATTTTTAATCAACCGTTAAATCGAAAGTTCGGAGTGTTTGTAATGACAGGCGAACGTCCTTTATTAAGCAACTTCGCGGAGTTCGAATAAAGTCGCTAAGTAATGGGGCGCTTTGTAAAGGATACCGCTGTTAATGATGCTTGAGCTACGCCGTAACTTGGATTTATGATGGAATTTTGATTGAGGAATGTTGTAATCACTAGATGATTGACAACGTTATGAAGTCCGATCAAGTGATTAGGCAACTTTTTAATTTACTTTCTGTCTTGTTGAACTTCGTTAAGCGTCAGTACTTATAACGCACAGGCATTTTTTTTAATTTTATATTTAAATGTTTTTGCGAAATCAAACTTTCAAATACTTACATATTTTAACTGAATAATATGTTCAACAGTAATTTCTATCTTAATGTACTTGTAAATGAATCATTTAAAAAAAATATTAAAGTTCGAGTTAGGGTCAAATTTGTTTTCTATTAATTCGCGGATAAGAATAAATGTGTATGTCACTCTGTTTGCGGTGACGCGATTGATGTTTTTATTTACATTTCTGAGCATCGAATTACTTAGTTTTTATTATTTATAGTAGTTTTATTAGCTTTGATAAAGTAGTTCGCAATCGCTTTTATGAAAATTATTTAACGCTATGGGCAAGATATTATTTACGTCTGCATTATCTATATAATGTTATATAAAAAATGATAAATATTTAAAATCACACGTAAGTAATTAATTACATTCATTTGAACTTACCTCAAAAAGTTCGTGATTTATACGCAACTCATTTATTTTACGCGCGATCATTCCTAACTAACATATATTTATGAATGACTACCGCATTGTCAACACGTTCTGTTTTTAGGGAATAAAGTGGCATTTTTTTTTTTGGAAAAAAATTATTTTTTATTTCAATAAACGATTATACTACCGATACTGAACCTCCTGTGTAAATTTTGGCACTTCCCAAAAAATCTCCCTGTATATTTCTTCTATTCCTAACCACGAATACTGCTACTACAACAATGCCAATTGAAGCCTCTTCAATTTAATTGACACAAACAAAACTTTTGGTTACTTAAGCCACGAAGAAAATCGAATGTGTAAAATTCATGCACTTGCAAAAACAACATTTGCATTTTCTAAAGTACGTCATAGTGAAAAGAAATAAATTTAGCGAGAATCTCGTAATTTAAAAATTAAATAAAATAACTTAAAAAAAGATTTTTTTATGTTGTTGCAGTCTGTTGTTCCGGAAAATTTCGATATATTTTATCAGAAAACTATCATGGTTTCATGTAAGCCCGTCTAAAATAGGTGTGGTTATTGCATCGTATCTCGTGACACAATTATCTTCCGAACTATTTGATATATGAATAGCAAATAGCAACTCCTGAATAGCAACTGAAGAGTCACAAATTAATTACAGCATATAGTCAGATTTTTAAGTACAATATGAATGAAACTAGATAATACGTTACCTAATACATTAAAAGTTATCACTCTTTTCTAAGTTCCACTGCAGCCGCAAACCAAGTTTCGAAGCGAAAATAATCACTTTAATGAATTAGCAAACTCATCCGCGTACGTCCCAATTTGAGCATCGCCCGAAGCGACGTCATGATACCCGTGTTAATGAAAACCCTGTTCATATTTTATCAAAGCTTGAAAAGTTCCTTTCAGGTGAAATGAAAGAAAACTCGCCCGAATATCTTCACAAAGGGCACGATTCCTATTGTGCGCGTGCGTTCTACGGTGAATTGATTGCTTCGTAAGTTATTATTGAGACTGAAGCCTGAAGTCGTATTTACAGTTTACAATGAGTAATGAGCCTTGAAATAATGATCCGAATCGAACAGAATGCGGATAGAATAAGTCATGTACTTTCAATGTGTCTTAGTTATAATAAAAAAAAAATGAAAAAGACGCAATATTTTTATACCATCCAAGTTTCATCAAGTGCGTTGTAGTTGCGTCTTAAATCAGAATAAATATAAGACAGTGATCTAGTTCAAAATAATTTATACAAACCTAACAACAAATTTACTAGTAAAGACTAAACATTATCCTTAACAGAGTTAATGATTTATTCGGTCCTTGGAATAACAATTTACCCCTATAATGAATATTGCATACCGAATAATGTTATTATATAGTCAGGGTATTTAAAAACGAGAACAAAATAGAAACTGCAGTACTTAATGATAAAGGCCAAAAGTCAAAATAACGAATTATTTCTCTGATAGATACAATTTTATGTAAAAAGTTGATGAAAATCCGAATATTTTTCGTTCGTAGTATCATCAATTCATATTGCTGAATGCTTTCGTAATTTGTTTTTTCTTCGTTTCGTTTTTAATAAAGCGTTTGAAATATTATTCGAATTTCGATAAATTTCTTTGGCTAAATGTGAAATATTTAGCCAAAGAAATGTAACTTTGTGTAAATGTTCCTTTCTGAATGAAATGATGATTATAATTATGCTTAAAACATTAATTTAAATATATTTTATTAGATTATTATCCGTCTAACCTTCTACGTATGCATAGATTCCATGTGCTGAAAACGAACCAATAAACTCTGAAATATATCGCATGTTTGCAGTTTGAAATTATCGTTTTTAAAAAAATATAAAGAATTTAATTCAAGTAATATCATAGATCATTGATTATAAAATTATTATATGAAACAATGAGAGTTTTAAACAACCTTAAGTTCGGAGACACGAGTTTTACCATTATCGAGTATGAACCATCACTTAAATTGATCAAAACCGCAAATAACATAGCTGGTGATTGTTCAAAGACATACACCCCGAGATGTGAGAAGCGAGATTTAATTACACTAAGTTCGAAACCCTTCAAAATATTGTCTTCATTAAGAGGCTGCGCCCTTTGAGGCTCGTTTTATTTGAAAAGTTCTCTTGTAATTTCGAAAAGTTAGTTAGCCTATTAACAGTTTCATTTATGATGTTCATCGTTTCGTGAGTTGATGAGGGAGCGATGTTCCACATCGGCCTTACGGCGAACCAACGCAGACGTAATACGCCGGAAATTCTGCTTTTGTTGCTGTAAAATTTAACATGTTTGCTAGGGTTAACAGAGCAAACCCTTAGGTTATGTTTGGTTAATTTGTGGTTGTAGGGTATAATTTTTGTTAAAATAAAATTTTATTATTTATTAAATAGATTTTGTGAATAAAAAACTTTGTGGGTAAATAATTGTACGGGATATAAATCATAAGAATAATTGTATTCGAATAAGTCGCCAGTAAAAAAATAATTTAAAAATAACACTCCGTACATAATACTTTCAACTTTACAACACTGTCGAAGTTTCTATAACTTATTTTTATGAGAAAAAGTGAATACACTACACTTGTTTTAGATTAGTGTCATGTGGAAAATGACTTATTGTCAGAAGTTTACTTCCTTAAATATCCCTCCCATATACAAGATTATAGCGACCAAAGCTGCATCTAATATTTAATAACATGATGTTGTTATAAATATCATCATCATCACAAATTTATAATAAGACCACACCTCAATCATTATTCCTCAATGACTGTTTTAAGCCCGAACTTGTGAAATCATCAAAAGGCCTGGAAATTAATAACGAAAAAATTAATAAAGTTAGGCTATTATTGTGTAAATCTTTACGCCATATATTAACACAAAAAGTTAAAAGAGAGTGTCAATCAAATCTAAAATAAAGGTACCTTGACAGATGATTGTTATGACTTGTATGATGCTAATAGCAAAGTTCTTGAAAGTCCCCCGTCGAAAGCTCATGGTCACATCAGCTCTATGTTATCGGGTTTCTTACATCGTATCACCAAATAATGAGTTCTGGTTGAGGTAACAGGAATATAAAATGTCTCATCATTGAGTTTTAGTATCTGAAACAATCGAAAACGTGGTAATTAGACAAGTTTACATAACCATTTACGTATATGCATATATTATTAGTAAAAGGTACAAAAATTAACAACATTGAAAGAATAGCTAGTTTTAAAATGAATACGGTGGACTTTCGTATTTATTTCGATAATTAAATATTGAAGTAGTTGATGAACTTGTAATTTATAAATATATATATGAACGCTATAAAGACGTAGATTTTGAATAAAGATTGCATTAAGTCTGTAATTTCAACTGCACTTGCATTTGTTGATTTGCAATTAACTTAAATCTAAATGAATCCTGTGCCATTGAAATTGTAGACCGTCTGCAAACTTTGGCGCTTCAGATAATGAAGGATCTAATAGTGATAGTGTTGTGGATGCTATAAGGGTCAATAGTTTCGGCAATACGATCTAAATCCTTTAACTGCAGTGGTTAAATCGATATGTGTTCCAGTCTTAAGCTCAGTGATAGAAGTAGAATTCATATAATATGTTTAAAGCCATTATAATTGGAGCATCATATTACTTACACTGAATATCCGTATGTATACAAAATATAATAATTATATTTTACTGACATAATACCTATTGTTTCAAGACAGTTTTCTTAATTTTGTTTAGTTTGTTTTCAGAGCGACAATTGATTAAAAGCTTATTACAGATGCAGAGGAAATAAAATACATTTATTTAGCAAAAAAAGACGCATACAACTAAAGAGCAAAAAACCTAAGTTTAAAAGAAAAAAAATACTTTTAAATAACAGTATAAACATAAAACATAAATATATTTTTATTATATGAACGAAATATATCTATAGATCAAACACAAGCATGTAAAGAGCCAACATGAAAATTCCTTCATATCCTTATTTCACAAAATTATTACAAGAATGAACGCTTTAAGGATAAACTGGTGAAAAAACATAGTATTCGAGTATCTTTAATTGACAAAATATGTCTTTCATTACATTAACTTGTTACAAAAAAGTTATTCAGGAATGCAAAATACAAAAGAATTTCATATTTTTATATTATTTTTAAAAATAAGAATAATCCAATTTGTATATTATTGAATTTAGAGCGATTTTATTAGAGTAAATAATTTTCTGATTGCTCTGTTCTTTCGAAGAACTAATCAATTGCAATTAATTGAACACAAAATATTAACTTATATCTATGTTGCCAAGAATTCTTGTTGTAATTCCTCGCTGAATAGTTAATTATGCTTAACTAAGCTAATTTACCGCTGAACGAAAAAAGAACCGGCCCTTATATCACGTATTAAACCCAAATGTCAAATGTGCTATTATCAAAGACAAGATTTATAAAAGAATTCATGTTTAACGGTAACGTTAAAGTTGTTTGCAGGTTGGTGAACATTTCTCTCCTTCTACTTAACTGACCATTCCCGGTCCACGGAAGTTGTCTTCGATCCATGCCTAGTAAGTTGATTTGTTGGACGGCCAAATTCAATTGCGAAATTGACAGAAAACTCCGCTTGTAGATCCCTCTTGTAAGAAACCAAGCGTACAATTGTTGTCTATTTAGTTTTTCTTTGAAATGTATGGTAGTTCCAGAATTATTTTTCTTATTTTTAATATTATATGTAAGGGGGTAAAATTATTGAGAAAAATAAATAAAGTTACATTCTGTATTATATCTCTCATTTTTGGTAAGGCTGCATTTCTCCATGGGATTTACTATTTGTTTTTATAACATTATTATTGTATTTAATTAAGCTTCTTAATATTTAAGGTTAAAATTTTGTTTTGTACGTAATGTTATGAAAATAAAAGTAGACATTGGTTAAGAATAGTTCTATTGAATCTCTTCGATCACAAATAGTATGTGAACACGTTTACACGTTTAATACTGTCTGGATAGCACAGATTATATAATTCTACTTACGAGTTTCCTTTTTTTTCAATTTTAATAATAGCACTGAATCGGTCCGAATTAACACAAACTATCCGTTGTTATGAAAGTTTATGCAGAACCGTGCATTGTATATGGTGCCCATGATCCAAAAATTAAATGTATTTAAAAATAATGTATGTATTATTAATTAATTATTGAGTTTTAAGTCTAGCTAACCTTAAAAACTTTGGTTCATAAATTGAAATATTTTTTTTTTTGCAAAATGACAATAATATGGCAATCGAAATCGTCGGTTCATAGTAACTGATTACTCCGACTTACCCATACTGCTTTGTCAACTGTTTCATAACCGGTAACGAGACTTGAATATAATTTTTTTAGATTACTTATTTCTTTATTCCAAATTCTCTTTTTGACATTTTATTATGGATGGGATCAAAACTTTAATAATCCCTTCAATTGATTAAAAGTAATTGTTTTATATATTTCTCTGATATGAATATTGCACCGAATTGGGGAACATATCAGATGAATAAGTGCTCAAACGAACTTTCGTAAGGGTATGCGGAAAAGGTACATTACCTTTTTGTATGACTCAGTGTAACAAATTTAGGTTGGTCCAATTTTCTTTTTACACCGAAAAGGCGTTTTGGGACAAATTACTCATAGTATTATTGTACTTTGAGGGAATCATGTTATTAAAATTAACATGTCAGAGTCAACTTTGAAATTTATTTTTCTTCTCACACACTATTATGTGAATCCATAAACGATTACTGATGGATACTGTGTTACTGATTAAGCTGGAATCACTCGTGTTTGATTGTTTAGAATTAGTTGATATTAGTTGTTGCAAAGTACCTAAATAAGTATCTTGAAGAAGTGCATGATACATCAGATTTCAATATAGATAACTATATGCAGTCTCCAAGCAATTATGTGTCAAGGTTTGCGCTTGTTGTCTGATATTATATATCATATCCGTGTCTCTTTATATACAAGCAATGCCTTTAAGCAAACTCGACCTCGATGCAAGAAAATTTCATTACAATTTAAAAGGCATGTCTGACGTTCACGTACCTTTTAAAGATTCTCTGCTAAATATTCTATGAATTTGACTCATGCTTTTCAACCAAATTGCAACATCGTCAAATTCTATTGATCGAAACAAATAAACGCTTCATGTCTATAAGTTTAGGTTGTCTATCTACTTTTTTCTTGAACATATATATTTTCTGAACTTTGCTTTGCTTCGGCCTCGGGCACAAAGTTAATCGAAATTTCTTCTTACATCTTCGATATCAGTATATTTTATGAAAATGGTTTTATAAGAAGCAAAATGTTTATGTGCTGCTAAGATTTGGTAGAGGTGTGCGTGAAGAAGTAATCGGCAATTTTTCATTAAAAATCATATTCCATTGCATGAACTTCTCTCACCCTTTTTTAAATATCGGACGACTGCTATGCTTTTGTGGTCGACATTCTTTGTATTCGAGGTTATAGTTTTGCTTCATAGTTCGTAATGAAAACACCAAAAGAGTGGGATAATCTGTTTATGTTCAATCTTTCTGTCCGGTTAAAATGTGGGTGTCCCCCAAGGTGAGACTAAGTACGCGCTAATTAGTGTATAGAAACACTAATTAGCGAGTTGTGGGCTAGAATCACAGTCAATAGCTATTCTGTGATAAATAGATATGCATCAAATTCAAATCTGTTTTAACCGACTTCAAAAAAGGAGGACGTTCTCAATTCGACTGTACTTTTTTAAATCGTCTTCTTTCTTATCTACCTAGATGGGACACAATCTGTGAATTATGTTACGACTGTTACTATCTGTCCCTGAACCCATCCAGATCCGGAAAAATTATCTGTGGGATGTGTGATCATGCCGTATGGAAGTCGAACCTACGACTCTGGTGCCGAAGCCAAAAGCCTCCATTATAAACGATCTTTTGCACTTTTTCACACAAATTTGTGACAGTTCTTCTGCATATCTTAATAAATATATATACCATCGATAAAAAAAAAAAAAAAAAAAAAACTACAATGCAGTTACACAAAACAAAAATCAGTGCAATAAGATTATTTGAAAACATAAAAGCCAATAAATTCTACAAACTAGGCGAAAGAGGTGCTTTCTTAGCTATTCTAGAGTATAACAAACATACAATGGATCGTTCTCTAACATCGTACAAAGGAGGAATTATCCATAAATATTGCTGGTTCAGCCGGCGGTCAAACATCAACTGTTCGACATCAAATCTAATATAAAACCCAGTGAACAAACAGGGATATCGGTGATAAAAATGTTTGCCCAAATGTTTTGTCAAATTTTCCAAGCCAATATTTACGGCGCACAAAGGGAAAAGTCTCGTATCGCGATGATAATAAAATTGTAAATTGAAAACCAATGGGCTGGTGGGTCGCTCCGGGCGACCGCGGGCGGACATTGTAAGGTTGTAATTCATCTTTATGTCTGTCGGTTTACCCGGAGGCCGTTTTCTGGACTTTGTAAGCTTAAGTAGCTTGAGGACGGTCCCGTTTTGTTAAATAGGTTCCGGTTAAAACGTCATTCGCGCCGTACTTGTTCAATAAAATCATTCGTTCCACTGGGATGTAATCGCATAAAATATTTGTATTTATTTCGCATCCTTTTTCAATGTTCGATTCTAATAATTGGTTACGCTGCGAAACTTTTTCGCGTGATATTTATGTTAAAGCCTTTCCAGATTCCGTAGAAATTATAACAAGTTTTTAACTCAACCGGTGAAAATGTCGAACAAAATGCAACTCCCCCGCTGGCGAAAGTGTTTTTAGTGTTTGAAAACTGGTGCGGAAATGGAAATTAAACGAACTCGAAAATTCTGATGTTAATGTGACACAAATTACAGAATTTATGCTGGCTTGTGTAGCAACTGTAAAATCAAATATAACAGGCCCGGCTTACGTAAAATAGGCGTTATTATTAATTAATATCTATTATTTGTGAATTCTTATTTTTGATCCTGAA